AGGCGACAGCTCCATGCGTGCGGACGTGTCTCGGCTGCTGCTGCTGCTGCTGGGACTATGGGGCGTTGCGGTTCCATCCTAAGTGGGGCACAGTGGAGGGGAGTTTGTGCTTCCGGAAGGAACAAATGCGCCTGTTTACGCTCTCTGAGCCAATTGAAGCATCCTGAGGGCATTTTGCATTATTTTATATAATTTAATTAAATTCAAAGATCCATTTTAGCCTATGCATAAAAATTTGTTTGGTGTGAGAGCACACTTTTTCCCTTGGACCGAGCATAATAGGGCCTTCACCTGTTTTTTTTTTTGTATTTTGTGCTTTTCTGAAAATGACGGGGCCGTTTTGCCGCTTCCGTCTCGGGGTTAATGCGCTCTTTTGGCATTGTGTGCACCGCCGATGGCGCCTATACGGAAAGCGAAATGGGAATTACAGCGGCACACCGCGTGTCCCACTGGAATACAAATGATATGCGGACACCAGGGGCGTGTAAACGGTTGAAACGAATGCGTATATGTCTTCTTTCCTGCAGGCGAAAATGTGTCTGCACGTTTTTGGGAGGCCTGAGATTGACGATTTGAAGGAGGAAAAAGATGTGTTGTTTTTTCTTTTTTGACTTCTTCTCTCTCTCTGCGTGTGTTTGTGTAGAGTCGTCTGCCAAAGACGTTTTTATTTTATTTTATTTTTTATTTTCATTTTCATCAAATTTCCCGTGGGTCACAACTGCCTGGGCTGCAGTTCATTCCCAAGCCTCACCATACTTTTCGCATATTATTTCTGTCCTACATCTCTGCTGTGTTTGTGTGTTGCCCCTACGTGCTTTGCTATGTCTTTCCTCCTCCTCTTCGTGCGTGCCCGCAGCTACACGCACACACGCGGGACTTATTTACTGCGGTGCAAGTGAATGAATTCTTCGTAGTCAGTGGTGGCAGTGCCGCGTGTGGCTGCTGCCTCCTTCCATGGCGGTGGGAAGAAGAGGGACACGGTGCAGGCGTGAGTGCGCACAGCGGCTCCCTCTTTTTCGTTGCGAGTGCAGGTCGCTGCGTGTGGGGGTGTTGTTTTGAGGCGCGGCCCCATCAGCTACAACGGCGTGGCACGGAGTGAGCGGTTCCTCTTGTTTGCGGTTGCCGCAATGGGTGCGCCCTGCTTGTGCGTGGCCAGCGGGGCGGGTGTTCGCGTTTGGGTGTCTCGTGTTGGCTGCAGTGTGGTGCGGTGGTTTCCCGCGGCTGTGGAAGTGAACTGGCGGGGGTGGCTGTGGGTGCTGCCTTTTTCCTCCGTCGTGGGTGACAGCTGGCGTTGTGTCGCTTTGTTGCGCGGTAGGCTGAATCCTTCCCATGCGCGGAATGACGGCACCGAAACCTTACATGTTTGCGAGTGCACTGCTCAGCTGTTTTGGGCGCATGCGCTTACGCGGTTATACGGGAACATGCGTCTTTGTTTGTGGGTCTGTTTCTCCTGAGCGTTGGCCAGCTCCATCGGTTTAGGGCGTAGGGCGTGTTGATGCGCAACAGCGGGTTATGGGGTTTGCCTGCCGCCGTTAAGTTACGAAAGACAACAATGCCATTTTCCCTGGGGCTGGTGTGGGTGGATGTGGATTTGGGATCAAGGCGTATCAATGGACACGGTGGCGCGCTTTGCGTGGTGCTGCTGCGTGGCGCAAGGTGCTGGAGCAACCTTTCTCTTTTCCTTTTTGCCATCTTTTCACCACGGCAGCGGTAAGCAAAAAAAGTTGGTTCGCCAGTTTTTTTTTGGGATGATATGGGGCGCTGGGGAGCCTAAGGGCTGCAGGGGCGCCTCGTGGAGTTAAACGCGCCCCGAGACCAAAGCGCCCTCCTCAGAAAGGGGCGTACGGCAGCGGTGGGGCGCGTCCCGGAAGGGTTTGCATCGGCCACGCCGAAGAGAAACCCCGGACGGCTCGTGGCGCCCCACCCGCTTCCCCCCAAGGCACCCGACATACGTGGCCGGCCGAGACGCAGGGCCCGCGATTGTTCGCGAATGGGGGGAGCGCTACTTCGAGTTTGCGGAGGAGGAAGCGGCCTGCCGTCGGCGAGGCCACACCGCCCGCGCCCGCCGAGGGAGACCCTTTGGGCGCCCTGTTTTTCTCTGCAAACACAACCATTCTACCTCCGCACGCGTGGCTCCGTCGCCCTTCTCGGGGTTCGGTTGCGTCATCTTCCCCTTCCTGGGTGGGGACAGGGGCTGAAACCGAACTCCCTCGCCACAGCTGCCACCCCTTAGAAAAGTGGGGAAGGCGGAGAAATTGCGATTTGGGGTTTTTGGGGCAGGCTGTGCCGAAAACGAGGGCGCGGAAGAAGCCGAAGCAAAACAAGACAAACGATCAAAGCAACAAACTAAAGGCGCTCCACCTTCAGCAGGCCAGCGCCACCATCTTCTATGTCGCCGCCGGCTGTGGGCAAATCAGTGGGCGCGGAGACCGAACGGATTGCAAAACAACCGAGCCAGTGGCTGACCAAAGTGAAGCGCAGGCACCTCAAACCCCCTCAAAGCCAAATTTCGCTCGCCGGGCCGCAAGGGACGCACAGCAGAATAAAACGTGCCCCAGCGCCTCCTCACCCACGCCGCTTCCAAACCACGGCGCCTCTCCCCACCTTGAAACCCTCCTTGTAAAATCCGCCGGCATCGATGTCTGGTGTTCGCTCCGAGAAAAGGATGGAGAAGCAGTGCAGACGCCG